TAATGGAACTTCTGAGATGGAATATTTTATAATCTGCATAGAAAAAGTATTCATTCTGAATGCAAAGATGCATGATGGCGTAAGTTGGCATGTCTGCAATGCTCAGTGTTTTTGGCTAGTCGTGTACAATACAAACAAACATACAGAAACTATCGTTAGTTATATAATCATGTTTCACTATCTGACTGCTTGCCAATATCCCTGACTTTATATTGTGTAAGAGCTTAGTTACAACTAGAAAATATGGGCCTAAAGCTGTTAAGTTCCCGTGTCTTCAAATGCGTTATATCTATATGGGCATTAATCACACTCCTTTCCATGGCTTTTTATTTCATTTCATTATTTCCATTGAAACTGGGGGACAGACCTCTAATTCCCCCTGGCTGTTCCCCTGACCCCCATCAGCGCAGACCTCAGCTGGGGGAAGGGAGAGATAGCTAAAGAAAAACTGCTTGGCCAGGCATGATGGGCCAGATTCCTAGTAGCAGCAGTGATAAGACAAGAGCATAATTGCTTAAACATAAAATTCATTAGGCTAAGACTTGATCTGGGAGTCAGGATGTTTGTTTCTTAACTGAATGCCTTGTGGCTTAAGATAACACCTGTGGCTCACTCGGGAGAATGTTGTGCTGATAACACCAAGGCCACGGGTTCGGATCCCATATAGGGATGGCCGGTTAGCTCACTGGGTGAGCGTGGTGCTGACAACACCAAGACAACGGTTAAGATCCCCTTACCACTCAACTTTTAAAAACATAAATAAATAAAAATAACACCTCTAATGCCAATCTCTAGTTATTTCTGCAGACCACCAGCAGCTACAAACCTGCTTAGAAGCACACACACCCTGGACCCTAAGGCACCATGGAAAACATCGGTCAAGATGCCAGGAACAGTTGTGCTGACTTCACCCTGAACCAATCAGCTTCCTACATGACTTGCAGGACCCCCTCTCATGATTCTGCTCTATAAATGCTTGTGACTCTAAGTTATCAGGGAGTCCAGGGTCTTAAAGATCCTTGAGCCACCACGGATTCCTTTGAATGGCCATCCAAACAAATGTTAATCTTTAACACTGCAAACTTTGGCGTTAAGAGACTTCTTAGTCATTTGGGTGGCAGATGGGAAATACCTCTCGTTCCATAACACCAAGACTTAGCGTGAAAAGTTATGATTCCCAAAATTTCTTAAATTCCCTTTCATCACGGTCAAACTATTTATCTAAATGACATTTTTCTCTCTAATCTTAAGTTCATAAAATTCTGTTAAATCTTGGCCCTGACACTCCTGTATTTTCAGAATTAAGATACTAAATACAAGAAAACAATGATTGCAGCTTCTCTAAGGGAACTGACTGGACTTGAAGTTTAGTGGACCACTGACACTGACATTCTGGATCAAGGATGACACTGTGCACTTTTCTCCTGTATTCAGTGCAGCTGAAAGACAAGGACTCACTATTGACTCATTCTCTGCCCTTATAGAACATAAAAATGCTCACTCTTGATAATCCAAACATCATTTTAAACTGTGGAGGCTTACATTAAAGTTCTTGTTGGAGTAAGCAGGACTGAAGCCATGTTGTGACCTAAAACTGCCTGGGCTGCAGGGGGTGGGGAGGATTTTTAAAAAGGACAGTTTTTTCCTCTCCACTCTTTCTTCTCATCCCCTGACTTTCTTATCTTGCTTCCTAAGTAGGAAAACAAGGCCAAGAAGCAAGGTAGAGGCCTCTTCTTGACTTCTTGATCTCCGTGACAGAATGTCCCCTATCATCCTCCCTGCTTCCCTGGGGGAGGCTTTGAAACTTGTTAGGGACAGGCAGGGCTGCTCCAGGGGCAATAAGTTCTATTGTGCCCTATCTTGCTCCAGCCAAAGCACGTGGGGGCCTCTCCCTGACGTTGTCTTTGAAGTATAGTCCTGCTGCAGATGCAGTTTCTATCACCTCCACCCTCTTCCAGGGAGCATGACTCTTCCCTTCTTTCCCACATATTCTTAAAAGGGTGCCCCCTGCTCCTCTCATGCCCAACCCATTTCTATAGGAACCAAGAGATCTGGGTTTGAATACCAACTACCACTTACTAGGCCATTGACTACTTATCGTCTTCAAGCACAGTTTTGTCATATGTAAATATGAAAGTTTGACCTTATAACATTATTGTGGATTTAAACAAGATAGTATCTGTAAAGTACAGGCAGTAAGTAGAGTAGCTACTGATCCTGGAACAAAGTTAATCGCGATTTTCACTTTCCACATTCCATTCCCTCAGCCCCTCTCTTAAAAACCCCTCAGTAAATGTAAATCTTTGAGTTGGGATAGCCTATCATCTCCCTCAGCTGAATACATCTGCTTTCCTAACACCACCCATTTGACTTCTGAGTTTTGTTTTGTTTTTTCTTTCCTTCTCAAGGGGGTGGGCAGCCGGACCTGAGTCTGGTAAGATTCTGATGGTGGAATCAAGGATGAGGAGTATTGATTCTTTCAGAGGAAGAAGCAATTGAGTGATAATGACATCTAAGAACGTTCATAGTAGTACAAATCATGTGGCGTTAAATTATCTTGGTTATTGACATGAAAGTGATGCCTTGAGGTGGATTCCTATTTAGAAAGCCCAGGACAAGAGATTTCTGGAGTATGGGGACACTGCAATATTTATAACAGTCTTATGAAAAACCACAAGATTGATTTTGTTTAGAATGTATCTATAGTGCAAAAAATAAAAACATGTATCATAGAATATTTTTCCAAAGGATATTTTCCAAAATTCTGAGAATGCTGCCTCAGCCTGTGCTATGATCATACGGAATGGCTCCCTTCCAAGTACACTTTCTCTGTCAACAGAAGGAAGAGTAGAAGAACCTAGACGAAGAACTGGCTTCTGCCACTAGGAATCTGTATTCAAGGCACTCGTGTTCCTGGAAGAGACCACCTACAAGAAATGTTAACAGTTTACCCAAAGTGCATGCATAAGAGTCAGGGACTAGTATGATTCATTTCGTTTGGCTGTTTTCAGGACTTTGGCTGAGCGCTTAACTTCTTTGAGTCTCATAGGCATCATAGAAACTACTGCATGGGATTTAAGACTAAATGAGGTGGTAGAAATCAAAGGCCAGCTAATAAAATTAAGCCCCTATGCTGTCTTATGTGAGCACCTCTGAATATAATAA